GCGGAATTGGCAAACTTTATTGTCTTTTCGTAAATATGACAGCTGGGCTTGCAACATATGGTTGACTTCGTTGTTGCTGCATACATTATTCCCTCGTGTCCGTTACATCTATTTAATTTTTACTATTTATAGAGGTCCTTTCACTATTTGTGGGAAATTGCAGTGGAGGTAACGATTTCAGCGACTGAAAAAAACACATGCTATAGTATATTGACGCTAACTAACTTTCAATTGAAAATACACGGATCTAACTGTGTCGCTATTGTAAGATATTTGGAAAATGTTTGCTATAGCCCATACCATTAGGGCGTCATTAAAAATCTGATATGATGTTCAAACGAGACAGATATAATAACAAGGAGAGGTCAGTGCTTCTCCATTCGTCCTGTCCCTGTCAATTGGTCAGAACCTTCGAGCCTGGGCACCATATTATCCTTTCAACGCGCTTCAATATATACCGTCAAGGAGTTTCTGAATTTAAAAATTTTTTGCTCTTTCTTCACTTGATGATAACTAACCTAACGCTAGTGGAGAGCAAGATTTGCTTACACTGAACTAATTTCAACATAGTTGACTCAAACTACGCGAAAATGCAGTTTAAAGTATCTGTGGTTAGGGAAAATCCACATTTACACGATCAAATACCAGATTAAAATTCTTATCCCTTTATTCACCATATATGCATAGAGTATGCATGTCTCTAAGTATTTGACTTTTGCTCAATGGTAAATTAATAAAAGCATCTTGGACATTGGAGGAGTCGTAGGCCAAGGGGAAGAGACCGAATACTAGAGTAGCAGAAGTTCTATTTCAATAGAAAAATCAAAATTAGCTTAATTACTCTGTCTAAATGTGTTCTTTACTACCTAACTTATACCAGAGTAATGAACAATTCAGTACATCTGCTTTAAAGTCTCTGAGTTCAAAAGGAAGAATTTTGTTAGTGCAAGGTTGTAATTATTATAGGCAGTATTTAGTAGTCAACAAGTAAAAGCGAGTGCCTGTTCATGCTACTTCATTAAGTGGATTTTTTTTAATAACCAATAGCAACTACTTTGTGTTAATAACTATGTTTTCCTATGCATCATGTGGAAAGATTATTCATCTAACTATTCACCTCTGAATGGACGACTATAAAAATGCATTCGCAGTCTCAGGCCTTCGGTATAACTAACAGGTTCGGAAAAATTTAAAACAGTTATTAACCTCTTATTGCAATTGTGTAGCGGATTGCTGCATGAATAAGCCCTGATTTTTGCTTGTTAAACTCTATGGTCATATCCCCCTAACTAGATAACTAAACCACCTCAACGATATGGCAGAAATCGGCATATGACGTAGAACACGTTTAATTTTACTGTGTGCTACTGACATGGAGCTTAGTCATTAAATGAAATTAAGGTTATGTTAAACAATGCAGCGACCATTGATTGGTGGTTTGCTGAGCAGTATCTGCGCTCACGACCACATTTGCTGCCTACGCGACAAGCAGCTTTGAAGATTTCTTTGTTCAGTCATGATTGCGCTGTGCACTCCACAGATGTATTTAGTTTTTTATCATAAATAGGCAAGTTTTATTATTCCATTTATTAATCGAAACGTAATCTCTTATTTGTCGGTTAAAATGGAGTTCGCTTTATTTCTTAAAACACCCTATAACAATTATCAATAATTTTGCCATAGAATCTACTCAAGCTTTTCATTGCTGTTAATTAAATTTTCATGAATAATGCTCTGATTCAGGATTGCCATTAAGAATGTAATTCCAAAATCACAATTAAATGTTGAGAAGATGGAGATTTATACAATTAATTATATTGCACTTAAAAAGTGCCCTTTTATATTTAAAAAATGAAGTATCTCTTTATTTCCTTTAGGCGCAAGTTTAATATTTTGCTTGTTGTTGTTTGGCTTTTAAGTTTCTGAGGAGAGAGTCTTCCTAGATATGAGTTAGAATTATTTACATTGGTTATTGGTGATATAAATAATAGTTAATCGAATAATAATTGCAAAAATAATGTCCTCAAAGTCCATAGTGGTGCAATCTCGTTTTCTATTCATTTGAAGAAGATAGATGTTTTTTAAGAAAAAAAGATTTATCAGTGAAGTTCATTAGTTGACTTAAATGTTCTTTGATTTACTGAAAGTAGATTTTCCGAGATGGTTTGGCTAACCTCACATTCTCAGTCTAACGGAAGATCGGCTTAAACCATTGATAACATTAACGGTCTCTTCTAGATCATTGTCTCAAGCTTTCACATTGGAATGCCAATATCTCGACACGACTAACAATGTCCATTATGTAACTCGAAGACAAACTTACCCCTAAACTTCTATCAAGCAGAGTTTAAATCTCAACAAATGCACCTTTTTTACTCTATTCATTCTATTGAACACTTCGTTATAATTACTAAACCTATTTTTTGTTTCGCTGGCATACGAAGGAATATTTTAAATCGATGTGAATCTGTAGCTCAAGCCACGTTTGCTCTTTCGAAGCCCTAATGATTCATATAAAAAATAAACAATTACTTTTATTAGCGATATCTTCATTAACTTAATTCAATCAGTTTAATAATACTCAAGTCAACATTCAGATTTAATTAGCTTTTATATTCGAATTTGACTTGCTACCTGCCAACCATCCACCGCTACAACCTTTTAATTATTAGTTTCACACAATGCAATGGGTTAAATGAACAATAATTGAAAATAGGCTAGAAGAAAAGCACTAGGATATTCATGTTGGGTAAATTCCCGAGCGAAAAAGAAGTTTAGATCGAAAGATAGTTTTCGAGGATTTTTTTAATTAAGTAAAATTTAATGTAAATATGTAGTGTTTCGATTCCCTTGAGTCATCTTTTCAACTAATTAAAATTCTCTACCCTTATTCGCTATGCTGAGGAAAGGAAAGTTATTGCTTTTATTTACAAGGAAATTAATGGAAAGAGAATTGTAACTCTATGGTTGCTAGAGTTCATTAATAACCAGGAAAATAGTTAAGCATCCAAGTGGGTCTTATCGCCTATACAATGTATTTGCTGATCGATGTCCATTTTATCACGATAAGTCCTTCCATAAGATTTTCCATACAATATTAACCAATATTTTGTTTTTATTCTTTCTGTCTAGATTTCACGTCTGGAGCGTATGAACTACATTTTTAAAGGTTAACTAAGGGTGGTTGATTGCGTTCAGGGAGAAAAGGCAATGCTTTTCGTATTTTTCGGTCATCTAATATAGAATTAATCAACAAAGAATTCGGGAAATTGAATTGTCGCTTTTAGAATGCGACAAGGTATTCTCATTAGGTCTGACTAAATTACGCACCGAAGCATACTTTGCACTTTAAAATTGCGATTTCGTCGGATTGGTTTGATTGGTGATAGCTAAAACCCCCAGATTATGTCAGATCATCATTACGTTGGTACTGAAATGTGAGCGATTCACAAGTTATAATGAAAAAATTGAATTAAATTTTCGAAATATATGATTTTAATAGTTGATTTGAGCGCATTTTCTTGAAGGCCTATCAAAATCTTCAGTTAATTAAACCTCAAGGCTGTTAAGAACAAAGATGTGCTGACATGCAATGACGAATGCCACTTATTTATCTAACATTCCCCCCTTTAGTGCGTCGGTCGAATGCAGAGCTGCTAATAATAGTCTTCTTCCATGTTTTAATAAATTATTGTTATACTACAAGTATATTGGTAATTTAAGGCATGCATTTTATTATATAAATATCGCCTGAGCTTCAGTTAGATGCTCATTATCGGATTTTCAGATTTTTACTTTCGTTCATCATTCTTGCTAGAATTTGCATCACTTTAAGTCTTCCTTGAGTGTCACTTGTTGGGCTCCGCGCTTTTTTATGGAGTATGTGTAATGCAAATATTTCGCATTTCAGATTAAGGTGATTGCCTAGTAGTTTTTGACGACGTGATCTAAGGTGTGGTCAATGCAATAGTGAACTTGAAAATTGCGTGGTTCATTCTACCGAAATTGCAAATTATTATCCTTAATGAAAGTATTTGAATCTATGTAAAATAAATGTTTTCTCACAATCTAATGATAAGCAAAGCACTTAAAAGCACAAATCTTGGCAATGTGCTATCAACATGGAACACAGTTAAATGATGGCTTTACCAATTTCGATTAAGCAGACTGAGTGCGCACTTCGAGCTCATGGTGATTCAATTCTAATAACAATCCTGGGGGGGGGGGTTCTTTTTTCCTTCATGTAGAATGATCCATCATTATTGAATTACTCGAAAGAATTCGACTTATGATCCCCTTGACAGTTGCGTTTCATATACTTCTAAATTACTGCCAATTAGAGTTTCAATCCTTTTCGTTTCGATTAGTTGAACCTTTCTCTATGACTTTAGCTCCATTGTTGACTCAAAGTATTCCAAGAATATGAGTTGAATACCTTCTTTAAATAATCCCTTTTGACACCGCATATCCTTGTATTAAATTACTAGATTGCATTAATTTACTAACATTCACTAAGGAATTTGCCCTTTTAATTACAAAGCACTTATGTTGAATCGGTTTCTCCAGTTGAGGACATTTTCTCTTTTTATGCTAATTTTTCAGTATCTCGAATGCGTTGAGTGTTTGCTTAATTTTATAAGTTTATCCAAAAATAAATATATTTAAGTCGATCACACCTAAATATTCATTATTTTTGACGAAAAGCAAAACCGTTACCGTTTAATATTTATACATACTTCTCTCATTTTAATCTTGTCTTATCGTTGGTTTCATAAAATACTGCCTTTCTGGCAGGACTTTGAAGATATCGTCATCGTAATATATATATTTACCATTTGGACTTTTACTGAATTGACAAATTCATTGCTTTTTACTTGATCACACAGTTACTATAGATTTTCAAGTACATTTTTAAGGATGGTTGACATTATGTTTCTTCTTAAAATTTTATAAAGCCTTACAATAATTATAGTATTTTGTCTTTTATATGCAGGTCAAATATGGAAGAACAAACGGTTTTAAGATTTGCACGTCTCTTGAGTCTCCCAGACTATGAGAATACATTTTCATGGCTGCCCGTCAATGGAGAAGTTAACTCAAAGTTACCAACTTCCTCTTCTGATACAGAAATTTCACCAAATCGTAAAAACTCGCATATCAGTGGAATTAAAACTAACCTCTTCTTTGATCTACCTACCGCAAATACCCCGACTAAATATATTTTTAATGACGATTTCTCCCCTCCTGTTCCGGAATTATCCACCCTTCCACCTCTTGATGAGGTCACTTTTTCCGTCTTCGATATTGCTGAAAAAAGTAACCCGAATTCGCATTCTCTATTTGTAGGGGCTAACAGTATCCCTCCCTCAATTGAGCTGTCCAATTTCTCCCCAAGTGGATCTGGTGATATTGATGTGTCCACAAAACCATCAACTCTACCAATTTCGAGTAAATTAATGAGGTCATTTAGTTTGAACCGCCAATTTCCAGGTAAACTTGCTACAACGAGTCTAGAAAGGTTACCTTTGAAAAGACACTTCATATCAACTGGAGATATTATCCCTCTACCCTCTTGCCATCCGATTAAGTTAGAAAATTTTTTTGATGCATTCAAAGGAGACAAATCACATGGATCCTTTCCTACTTTCTTCGAGAGTCCGATTACAGCTGGAAAACTGAATAGAGAAAGCAGTATAGTTGAAGATGAACATGAAACTCATTGTTATTCGGCTATTTCTGGTTTATCATCTGTTGGTGAAAGCGACGTTGTAAAGGAAATAGTCTACGTTTCAAGATCACAGTCAGATCTTGAATTTACAATTCCACCTATGCGCTCACGGAGTCTTATATTTTTGCCAAACTACAGCGACTCAAACGGTAGGGGCAAGATTTCTCCAGATCGGAATTCTGATATTTCCCCCTATTGTCATCCACAGCATTCACCCTTGATAATGGGTGCTACTGCGCTAGGAGCGGATTTACCTGCGCTTATGACTGATGATGATGATGTTGGTTGGATGAAATCAAGTAAGTCCCCAGTATTCGATTCTTTTTAATTTAAAATGTTTCTATTGAAAGTTTTTCATGCCTTATCTGAAATAATTTAATAAATATAGCAAGAATAAAATAAACGGGATAAAGCAGAATTTTGGTCACAAATTCTTGACATAGCAATGACTATAGCGATATTCGAATACCAAAAGTGCTTATGGATTTTCGACTGTTAAACAAATTTATATGAACTGCCAACAGCAGAATGTGCTTGTGGAATGAGAATGAGGAAGTAGATGCTGGTTTAGCTAAGGCACAGGAAGTCGGATATTAGTAAGCAGAGTTTATTGAAAAAATATCAGAAACCACGAGGTGTAAGAACTGTTGTGTAAGTGCAACGGCGGTTGCTGGGGGCGTGCGCTAACGAGGTTGCTCATATTTAGGGGAAATGCGCTTTTACATAAGCTAGATTTGTTGCAAGAACAAAGCAATCAACCATTGGCAACCGTGACACTCTAAGCTTATTTCACGGTGGAATTAATCAATTAATGAGTGCTCTCTCGACGCATCATCTCCATTTGAAAGTACTTACCTTGTGGTTAGAGGTATACTTTCTCTTTCCTCTCTCTCTCAACTGCTAACTTTTATTCAACAATAAAAGTGACTTTATTCTTTCCTACGTAATTTAATTTTATCATTATTTCTGATAATGCGTGTTGCTCTTCCATAGATAGACACGTTTGTATCAATAGCAGTTTTAAAAAGTCTATTAACCGTTGTAAAATTTCGAAAGTGCTGCTGACGATTGATGTAATTGTTTTTTCTATATTTTTCTACTAAGATAACTGGTTTGTTACCTGATAAAACACTTATCAAGAACCATATAAAGTTAGAATAAGCCAAGCTAGTAGCAAAATTGCAACAGGTCCTATGTGGTTGTTTAAACCTTATTAGCTTTTTGCTAGAATTTGAAAAATTTGCTCTTTCATACACGTTTCTTGTTATCAGTATTTGTTAACTCATTTTTATCCTTGTATCTTTACATTACGTGGTTGTGCATATGACTAATCCTCCAGGATTACAAGAATCCAAGCGACTTCTTCCACAATTAAACACCAGCGCCATGAGTTGTGGTCCTTCACCAAATCACGTTTTCGTCTTACTGGTTGCCCTGTTTCTGGCCTCTAATAAAGTATTATGCAGTTTGAATGGACGCCACCTTAGTTTTGTCGTCTTTTGGAATTCAGCTAAGATGCTCTCTAGGTGTAATAGTAATATTTATTTATTTATATCAAATGGCAGGCGTCTTGATGGTTATCATAGGCCCTTTAGTTGACTTTAGGCTTCACAGAGAGGAAGGAACATCAAATTGAAAAAAATAGAGAGGGGGGAACAGAGTAGCGTTTCAAAGATGTAAGAGACAAACACAAAGGTAGAACAAAGGTGAGGTGAGTACTGTGAAATTAGTCGAATATGGCATAGAGTGGAGTGATGGTAGTTTAAAGTGAGAAGTAAACTGCCAGTTAATAGACTTTTTTGCCGTATGAATATACGTTGCCCAGGGTGCACCACGTGGAGGTAAGTCTATCGCACACCCGTAATAGTAATATTACGTTCCACATTTCCTGGGATCTTGGACTCTTGCATTGAAATTATCATAGTGCAGTTCGTGTGTAGCTTTTCGTACTTTATTATACTCAGGGTAACCCATTATTTAGATGGATTTAACCACCTTGTTAAAGAAGATACTCCATCTTGCATCTCTTTTAAAGCCATTCAAAATAGATTATTTCCCGTCTATTTACTAGTGCATGACTATTTAGATAAAGAGCATATAAGCTTTGAGTCAGAAAAAACTACTTCAGCAAAATGATGCATTCGTCACAATTTTATA